GCCTGGGAGTGCAGCTGGTAACACACGCAGCTGAGAACGACAGAGTGCCTCGGAAGAAAGGGCTGGCAGTCTACGTATGAAACATCATCCACTGAGAACCCTGTGGGCACAGTTCTCCTCTGACACACACGGGGGTGCCATGAGTGGAATCTACTTATGAAAACTCATCCACTGAGAACCCTGTGGGCACAGCTCTACTCTGACACACACGGGGCACCATGAGTGGGATCTACTTATGAAAAGTCATCCACTGAGAACCCTGTGGGGCACAGTTCTACTCTGACACACACGGGGGACCATGAGTGGGATCTACTTATGAAAAATCATCCACTGAGAACCCTGTGGGCACAGCTCTACTCTGACACACACGGGGGCACTATGAGTGGGATCTACTTATGAAACATCATCCACTGAGAACCCTGTGAGCACAGTTCTACTCTGACACACACGGGGGCACCATGAGTGGGATCTACTTATGAAATATCCACTGAGAACCCTGTGGGCACAGTTCTACTCTGACACACACATGGGGGGCTGTGCTTTGCTCTGGGTCCTGATCTTTCTGTCCGTCAAGCCCTTTGAGCACTAACACTGTGAAGATCACATGACCTCCCAGAAGCCCTGTGGGCCGGATGCAGTTTGTGCGCTTTTGGTGAAAATGGGTTGTGTCCTGCAGGACTCCATGGGGTGTGCCCCCCCTTTCAGGCATGAATAAGGGCAGAGCGAACATCTGTGCCATGTGAAGAGCTACCACTTTCTCTCTGCCTGACCCACAAAAGCATGTCTCAATTTAAAATATCAGGATCAAGAAGGGTAGGCAAGGGGGCCTATTTCAAATGACAAGTCAACATTGTCTCAGCGTCCCGCCCTCACGGGCTTCTGGACTTGAACCCCTCAAAAATCCCCCACTGCAGTCTCGTCTGTTCCGAGCCATAGTGAGCCCACAGAGCAGAACTGCTCCATAGCGTTTCTGAGAATGCAGCACTTCATGGGGGCAGACAGTCCGCCTTTCTCCTGTGGAGTGGCTGCTGGATTTGAACTACTGCTCTCGAAATTATGGCCCTGTCGCAGCCCAACTCTTAACACACTGTGCCACTAGGGCTCCTTAGGAACTCTGAAAACAGTGACACGGGCCCTTCGAGCCCAGATGCCCTGGCCATCCCACCTGGCAGGATTTGCCAGTTTCTTACAGAAATCACACGTCCTATGAGCTTAGTGTAGAAAACGACTGAGTTTCCTTCACGGGAAAGAGACGCTGGGGCTCCGGGGGAGTCGGGCCCCAGAGGAGGGTGGGCGTGGGCCTGGAAGCTCCGTCTTCTGGTCTTACCTTCCCCTTCCTGAAGGGCCTTGAGGTCTCCCACAGCTTCGGGAACCAGCTTGGCGTACGAGTGCTTGTCGCTGGAGGCGAACTTCACAGTGTCAAAGTAGACTGAGCCATTGGAGACGTAGCTGGAGACACAAAGGGTGGACAGGGTGTTGGGCAGAAGCAAAGGAGACCCCGGAGTGCCGCCCAGGACCGGCCTGAGAACAAGGGTGTCTCAGTCACCCCAGGACTGCTGGGACAGAAGTGCCACCGTGAGTGGGGTGTGGGGGGTAACAGTGAAGCCACGAGGGGCACACAGTGCTGGTGGCCATGGAGGGGTTGCGGTTACTGTCATGACACGCAGCATGTCAACTGTTGGACGTGGGACTGATGAGCTGTTCCGTCAGCCTTCACTCAGTTCACAATAAAACGCTCACAGAAAAGTGAGGCTTTAACGAAGGACCATTTCTTCTCCCCGAGCCCGGAGGCTACACGTCCCAACGCAGGGCGCAGGCTCTGGGGGGGCCTCGGCTCCTTGGCATGCGTCTCAGCATCTCAGCTGCTCCCTATGACGCACACGTGATTGGGTTTAGGAAGCCCCTAGGCTGACCTGGCCTCGTGAATGCAGCAGACATGGCCTGACCATGTCCACTCATTTCTGGGGACACTAGCCAGTCTATGCCAGGGTCACTGCTTCAACCTCTGCTCCTGCCTTCAGGCTTCTGTGGCTGTCCCCTGAAACCCACATTGGCCATGTGGGCACGTGGCCAGGCCCCCAGGCCCCCAATCAGATCCTCACTTCCCACATGGACCCTGCCTCTTGGGATCTGGGCATCCGTGTTCAACGGCTCCCACCTGTCCTGTGCCCCCAGGGTACACTCCTGCACATTTCGGTGGGCTGCGCATGTCACCAAGTGGGACAAGCAGTGTCTCCTGTCCTGCAGAGGCCCGTGATTAAGGGGATGGGGGCAGGATGACTGCCCCAGACCATGTCTGCTTCACTGTCTGTCCCCACAGTGTCCACGGAGTGACCTGTGGACGAGACCCTGCGTGCACATGGGGCTTCTGACACATGAATGGAAGCAGGCCCAAACAGGGTGAGTCTGGAATGGTCATTCTGCTGAATTCATCTAAGAGCAGGGTAGACGCACAGAGCCCACGTGCAGACCTATGATGCACCGATGACCTGAGGGACATGGGGTCTCTCAATACCAGTGACCTCCCAGCCTCCTAACTGAGCTTTGTGGCCCGGGGGAGCCCCCACAAGGCTGAGCATTTTCGACAGCTCCGTCCACACCTTTGAACCCTGTGTCGGCCATGCCTGGAAACGCTAATGCCCAGACCAGCGCGGCGTTGGACTCTGGACTAGAAGTGGTTTCGTGGAACATTTCCCACCGAAGTCAAGTAAAATCGTAACAGCAAAAAAAACAGGAAAGAAATCCCCAAACAGTGACAGTCCCAGAGGGCTCTAGGCACAGACCAGCCCAAGTTAAGGCAGAACCAGAGCACAGTGGGCAGAGCGCAGGCCAGCTGGGCGGGGAACGTCAGGCTGAACACCACCGGAGCCACAGTCTCCCGCTCTGCCTGACTCCTGATAGAAACTCGCTGTGGGGTGAAAGTCAGGCCCATAGCCCCCGGGGTCTCCCCAAACCCTGACTGGGACTCACTGTGAGGTGAACATGGGGTATGTGGTAGAAAGCAGGGGACCAGAGCTTCCTGATCACCCCAAATGGTGACTAAAACCTACTGTGAGGTCACTGTGAGGCACGTGGCTGAGCCATGTTCGACCCACAGCCTCATGTTCTTCCCAGAATGCTGATGGAAACCCACCAAGAGGGGTCACAGTCTGCACTGCCCACTGGAAGGTTCTGCGTGGGGGGCCCATGCTTACCCATAACCATTGTCCACGATCCTCTGCACAAAACTCACGATTTCGGGCACATACTCACTGACCCGAGTCAGGACATCTGGAGGGAGGACCTGCGGGCGATGAGAAAGCTGATTTCCCCGGTGACAGCCTCGCCTCGGACACACGCCCCACGGACACCACATCTCCATTCTGTACAGGGGACCCCGTGGTCCCCAGCTCAAGTATGCTGTCGATTTGATGTCAGCAGTTAGGGTGTGAGCTCACGGTGATATGGACCACGGGGGGCGGGGTACCTGGAGACCCGCATGGCGGGTACACACTCACATTCAAGGCCGCCATGTCTCTGTGGAAGGCTTCCTCCCAGAACTTGGGCAGTTGGGAGAAGATGGAGTTATCCATCACCTCGCTGCCAAACCTGGAGTCCAGCCACTCGGAAAGCAGGTCCTTGGCCTCCTCCAGCAACACCTGATGGGAGAACACAGGAAGACAATGACACAGACGACGCCCGAGCTTTCACGCAGCTGGTGTCTGGACACACGCTCCCCAGCCCTGATCTCCCCCATGAGGGCAACATGGGGACACAAACACAGACCCCAGAGTGCTGGGAGGTGAAGGGTCAGAGTGGGCTTTGTGGGGGAAGAAGGTCACGGCAGAAGTGTGGATTGGAAAACCATGTCATCAACGTGGTCCAGAGCAATGGGCTAGGATCCGTCGCCGAGGCCTCTGTGTGCCACTTCCCCGGCAGCAGGACAACCCCAGCGCCGAGCAGGCAGCACTGAGGTGCCAGAAACAAGAGGAGAAGACCAGAATCAGACAGGATGCTCCCCGAGAAGGCAGAGGAGCAATTTCCCTACAGAAACAAGCAGCGTGGAGCGCACCAGGTCTCATGGGGCTGAGAGCAGGCAGCGGCGATGTCCCTGAGTGGAGCAGGTGAGGGGACCTGGCTGCTCGCTGAAATGTTAGAGCCACAGTCCACCTGGAGGCACCTGGGAGAAAATCCCGTGGACTGCAGTTCTGCTCTGACACACACGGGGGCGCCAGGGTCACTAGGCTCCATAGCACTGGGTTGGTTTGGGTTTCTTAGAAGGAAGTCCAAACCCGGAGAGTGTGCAGCACATCCGACAACACCGGCCAACAAGAGCAAGATGGGCAGCTCCGTGGAAAAGCAGGTGGTCTCACTGGCCGCTGGAGAGATGCAGCTCGGACCATTGTGTCCACTCCACACCCTTCCTGGTCTGAAGGACACACACAGCCTGGTGATCCTGAGCGCTGGTGTCCATGCGGACACCCTGGGGAACAGTGGGATACGGTTTTCTGACTGTGCACAAGAGGGGCCCAGGGGCCTGAGGTGCCACCTGCAGGAGGCAGGTGGCTGGGCCTGGACTGACCCCACAGCTAAGGTGGTTCACACCAAATGCCTACTCTTTCTGTCTGGAAGTGTGGTACCACAGGTGACTGTCACCTGGTAAAACCCCGGGTGAGGCACCTCTGAGGGTTCCTGGGTAGAAGCAGTCCACACGTGTGACAACATGTGTGCTGAAGGGGACAGAATGGGGGTGACTCCCTGAAACTCCACCTGGGCTCCCAGCTCCCTCTGACTGCAGTGATGTGCCCAGTCTATGTGTCCTTCCTGCAGGTCACCGGAAGCAGAGCAGTCACATCCACATGCATCTCCTTGGGCAGTTCCTCTCCCAGGGACTCCGCACAAACCTGGCCGTCACCACAGTGTCCAGGTGGGCCTAGCCTCCACAGACACACTTGGGGCAACATGGCCAGCCTCCACAGCGGTCTACACAAGACTTGTTTAGGTCTGTAGTCTGGAGACACTGAGGAGAAAGCTGGAGGAGACATGGGCTGGGGCTCATGATGCCCAAGTGTTGGTGGTGCTCTGATTCTAGTGCTGAAAGCGGGTTCTTGGTGAACGTCTTCACAACAGACGGCCACTTCCACATGTCCATCTAGGCTACGTGGGTTAATTCAGTCAGGTTTCTCAGTGTCCAGTGATGTCCTCAGAGCCCCAGTGTGGCAATGTAGGATAAGCTCTGGACTGCTAACCTCAAGTTCACCTACCGGCCACTCCTTGGAAACGCTATACAGGCTTGCTACAAGTCGGATCTGACGGGTCGGCACAAGTGAAGTCCTGAGACTTGACCAGCAGGGGGCGCTGGTGTAAAGGAGACATGTCAACTGGAGGCCACTCAGGGTACCAGAGGACCAGGGCCCAGGACTCTGGGCGAAGTTGCCCTTAGGTGCAGTCTCTTCAGGAAGGAGAGTTGGAGAGGAAGAGGGTCGGGGCACCCCTACAACCTAAGGCCCTCACGTTTATGTGAAAAGTCTTCGCACAGAAGCAGAAGAGTTGGCGAATGTTAGTCTCCAGGCTCAGCCCTTGTCCAGCGTCTTTCTACGTGAGTCCGCCTCCACTTTCTGTGGTCACTGCAGGAAGAACTACAAGGGCGTCCCAGCCCACGGGCTTCAGTTCCACAAAGCCACTGGGCGCACACAGGCACTGCCACCCCGGGGCACGTTTTATGGTGTCTAGTCTCAACTCTAGTAGCGTAGTGGTTACGAATCAAGCTGCTAATCTCACGGTCAGCAGTTTGCCAGCTGTTTCGTGGGAGAAAGATGAGGCTTTCTGCTCCTGTAAAGATTTACAGCCTCGGAAACCCTGTGCAGGGTCGTTATGAGTCGGAACCGACTCCACGGCACTTAACAACAAGTCTCAAACAAGATGCACCTTAAAAATAAATGCAAAATACACGAGAGGGTTCAAAAAGTTCCTGGAAAAAGGGGAATTGAAAGATAATGGAATTGTCTGAAAACTCGCAACTGGTTGTGATTTGCCTGGAACAACAGAGGAAGGAGAGAGACAGGAATACGAGGAGATGATGGGAAGTGTGGAACTGTCTCCGTGAACACGAGCTCCTGATCATCCCGAGACCAGAACTGGATGATGCCTGGTTACCATCACGGAACATTTTCATCAGGGTCCATGAACAGTCCTGATCAACAGGGGGAAGGTAACAGATCAGAACCGAAAATTCTCACCAACTCCAGACTTTCTGGACTCCTGGGAGCTGGGTAAAGCCCTTCTATTGTCCTGAGATTATCTTTAAACCTTAAACCAAAAATATTTCCTTTAGTTTTCTTGTAACCAAACAAAAGTTTAGCTTACCTACTAATAGAGGTAAAGGTCTGTTCTGAGCAGTGTGCTCTTATAAGAACCATCTGTGAGGGGGCTTAAAAAACTTTATGGAAAACGGAATTGAAAGATAATGGCATTTTTCCACAGACTTACTGACACCGCCTCATATTTGGACAACTTGTCTGTCAGTGGTGGCTTGCATGTGGCTGTGATTCTGGAAGCTATGTCGTCAGTATTTTAATGACAAGCAGGGTCACCCAGGATGGACATGTTTCTTTCACCTGAGCTTCCAGATTAAGACAATAAGAAGGAGAGCCCACGGAAAATACTGTGACTACCAATAGAACACTGTCTAATCTAAGACTGGAAAATAAGCCCCTCAGGTTGGAAGGCACTCAAAATATGACTGGGTGACACCAGAGATGGAGCGGCTGGGGACTTTAGACCCAGAGAAGGAAAGGGGCTATGTGCTGACAACAGAGGGGCAGGCTTACAGGGTATACCCTTTGGTTGGTTGATGATGCATGGAGGGGATTGTAACCATAGCAATGAGACGATATACGATAGGATGAATGTGAAGCTAATGTTCTCCCATGTAAACTATCACATAATTCACAATAAAACATTAAAAAAAAAAAGTTAACAGTCTACGATGGTTACGGGTAGAGGGGAGGGAAAATCATTCCTGGGCTAGAGGTTAGACACATGTAACATGAGTGACAGCAGGCAATGTACAAGACGAAGGTTAGCAGAAGAAAAGTGAAGGCAGTGGGAGACACAGGGAGAAAATGGAATCGTTAAAGTGAATAGAGGATAATACTGTTATTCGTTGGTACATGAAGGGCATCACAATCATTGTCATGAAGCAAAGTGTATGGTTAGTTGAATGTAAAATGGATGATCTGCTCTGTACATCTTCACTCAATTCACAATAACAAGTTAATAAAAAAAGAAATATATATGACTGGGGAAGAGCTGCCCACCTCAAAGTAGACTTGACCCTAACAACCCCAATGGAGCAAAGCTTTGGGGACCTTCATGTGTTGATGAGACAAAACTCAAAATGGGTAGAAACAGCTACGAAGAAGCAGCATTAATAATCAGAATATGGATCATATAAAGTATGACTGTAAGAAAGCTGGAGTTATCCAAATGAAATGGAACACTCAGTAGTGAGCTAACATGGGCTAGCTCTGGCATTTGTGAATCTGACAATCACACGGCTCACTATGCCGGGAAGGACAAAGTGAAGAGGAACGGTGGCACATTCAGCATCAAAAAGAGCATTTCAAGATCCGTCCTGAAGTACAATGACTGATAGGCTAACATACACCAGCCTACAAAGAAGAATACTAAGTACCACTGGTATTCATATTTATACACCAAACACTAAAGCCAAAGTTGATGAAACTGAAGAATTTTACCAACGTCTTCAGTCTCAAATGGATCAAGCATACAATCAAAATGCGTTGATAGTTACTGGTGATTGAAATATGAAAGTTACAAACTAAGAGGAGAGATAAGAGTTGGAAATATGGCCTTGGTGATAGAAATGATGCTGGGAAACACACGATAGAATTTTGCAAGATCAATGGCTTGCTCATTGCAAATACTCTTTTTCAACATAAAAGGAGACTACAGACTTCCTGCAAGATGGCGGACTAGGCAGACGCAGTGCACAGACCTTCTATAATAAAGATACGAGACCAAATAAAATAAACACCCAGGAGAATTCTGGCACCCTGAGCTTCAGAAGAAAGGTGGATGGAGCGTTTGCTAGGAGGGGCTGAGCAGGGATGACAAGAGAGGGAGACCGACTGGTGAGCCACCAGCCAGACGAGACTCCACAGCTGGTGAGCAGTTTTGGTGACAGGAGGAAGCCTGGCAGAGCAGACTCACACAGGCGACGGGAAAGTTCTATTTCTTCTTTTTCCCCGCGCTCCTACTGACAGAAGTGTAGCCAGCTCCCAACCTCATCCACCCGCAACACACACCCGACTCCCCTGGAGTTTGGAGCCACACCAGTGTGAGTTGGGGACCACCTTGGTGTATGCTTTGGTGCCTGGATTCGGGGGTTGGGGGGAGCTCGGTTCCAAACCTACCAAGCCCACAGGACCACCAGCCCAGGATTTCCCCAGTCTCCCTCGTGGTCCTAACAGACACCGACACCAGTTCCATCAAGGGTCTCCACTAACTACTTGCAGGTTGAGTACCGTGAACATGGAATGAAGTAAATAAGAATTCAAAAGAATGATAATTTTGATACCTTCAATGTATTGCCATAAAGATCGGGGAAAGCAAGGAGAACACAATAAAAACTTTA